GCGGGCGGGGCTTGCCCCTGCTCCATGCAGAGGTGCGTGACCGTGGGGCTGGCCGGGCTCTCCCCAGGAGAGGCCGAAGAGCGCCGTGTTCGCCACCGAGACAAAGGTGAAAATGAGCGTGGAGGAGCAGATCGACCGCATGAAGCGGCACCAGAGCGGCTCCATGAAGGAGAAACGGCGGAGCCTGCAGCTCCTGGGCAGCCAGCAGCCCGAGACCCCCGGCACCAGGGCACCGGCCTCCTACAAGGTGGTGAGTCCTTGCACGGGGTGGGGGACTGGAGTAAATGGGCCGCTGCACCCATAAATGGGTAAATGGGCAGAGCAGGACAGCTCCCTGTGGGTGGTGGGACCGGGGAGCAGAGAGAGGAAGAGGAGGGTGAGGGCTCAGCGGGTTGTGGTCAGCAGCAGGTGCGCCGGCACCGCAGCATCCACGAGGTGGACATCTCCGACCTGGAGGCCGCGCTGCGCTCCGAGGACTCAGGCAAGGTCTACGAGACGCCTCGGGAGGAGATCGCCCGGCTGCGCAAGATGGAGCTGGAGCCACAGCATTATGACGTCGACATCCATAAGGAGGTGAGGCCGGTCTGCGGGGCTGGCGGTGCCCTGCCCGGGGATCCATCCACCCTCCTCCCTTGGCTGTTGGGGGTCCTGGAGCCAGCATGACATGTCCTGCGGGTCGTGGGCACCAGGAGATGGTTGTGCGGGGATGAGGGTTGCCTGTGCCCAGGGGTTTGGGTTCCCCGGCAGCAGGCGTTCAGCTCAGCCCTTGTCCTCTGCACCCAGCTCTCAACACCGGACAAAGTCCTCATTCCCGAGCGGTACATCGAACTGGAGCCCGACACCCCCCTCAGTCCCGAAGAGATGAAGGAAAAGCAGAAGAAGGTGGAACGGATAAAAACCCTCATTGCCAAATCCAGGTGAGGCTGCTGCACCCGTGCCCCCTCTGGCTATCGCTGGGGGCATCCCTTCGACCAACGTGCCGCCCATTCCCCCTCCGTCCTCCAGTGCCTCCCTCCCTTTGCTGGGCTCTGCTCCAGCCCCGCGGTCGCGTGATCCAGGTGCCCTCCTGGACCCACTGCCCGTGCTGGGCGGTGACGCCGACGCTCTCCCCGCAGCCTGCAGAATGTGGTCCCGCTGAGCGAGGGTGAGGTGGACACCCCCCAGGACCCGGAGACCCAGCTCCAGGAGCAGGAGAAGAGGATAGAGATCTCCTGCGCCCTGGCTGCGGAGGCCTCCCGCCGGGGCCGCATGCTCTCGGGTAAGGCATGGAGGGGGCACGCAGGACCTGGGGTGCCCACGATGGCGGGTCACCTGCCGAGCAGGCAGGAATAGCGACAACTGGACAAATCAGAGAGGTTGGACGAGCAGCCCGCACGGGACCGGCTGGCTGAGGGGCAGGAGAGGCAGCAGGAGCAAAGGGGTTTTTTTGGGCAGCAGAGCAGGGCACGTTGGGGCACGGCAGGGGAATGCCTCTCCCCAACGGCGGGCGAGCCAGGCTCTGGCAGCGGCGCCCTCACCGAGCGCGCCCAGCCCCGGCACAACGTTGAGCCCAGCTGGCAACGTGGTGGAGGCTGGTGGCCACTCTGGACGTCCTGTGGGTCCACGTGGTTGGGCTCTGCTTCAGAGTCACGGGGATTTGCTACCGCACGGTCCCACATCTGAGCAAATAAAACCAGGTCAGAGCATGCTCAGGGCCTGTTCTCTGCGGGAAGCGTTGGCAAGAAGCAGGGCAGGAAGGCCCCACCGCGAGCCCATCTGCAGAGCACACATCTGCAGGACCCACTGCCCACCACCACCCTGCGGACAGCACCGTGCCTTGCCTTGTCCATGAGGATCCTTGCGTGGTGCTCACGTGTGCATGCCGTGGCGAGACGCTGTCGTGTCCGTTTGTTCTAACCAAGCTTGCTTCCTCCCTTCCTCCCTCTTCGTTTTCTCCCCGTCCGCTAACCTCTGCCTGCCGTGTGGCCTCTTCTCCTCCGTCCCCGCTGCCGGCAGCTGGTGTTCTTCACGCCCTTCTTCCATTTCTTGTTTCCAGCTCAATGCGCTACCCCAAGCCCTCCCACCTCCCCAGCTTCCCCGACTCCACCGACCAACCCCCTCTCGTCTGAAACATCCCGGGTCGCCGACAGCAGCCATTTTATGCGTGTCTGAGCCATGAAGTAAGCACCTTTTCTCTTGTACTTCATCCCATGCTCTCTCCATCGCAGCCTGCTGGCTGGGGGGACGGGCGGGGGGGCGTTTCTCCTCCCGGGCTCTGTTCTGCCCCGCGTTCGTTCATCGCTGCTTGCTCCAGCTAACAGTCTCCTGAGCCACGTCAGCCCGGTCTCCTCCCATGGACCAAGCGCAAGTGTCCTCAGTGGTGAAGCCCCCGTGCAGGGCTCCAGCCTCCAGGCTGGGTCAGCCAGGGTCAAGCGCGAGAGCTGTGCATCAGCATGGCGCCTGGTGAGACGGTCCTGAGCGGTAGGGTGTCTGCCTGGAAATACAAAATCCCACTTCAGTTTTTTTTGCCAGCAGAAATTGCAAAGCCCCAAGTGCGGGAAGCAAAGGGATCAGCTCAGGATTAGGATGCACGTGGTGGGAGCTGTCTCCAGCCAACCTTGCTGCTTGTGCACGGTGGCTTGTGACGTTGTGCAGAGCCCATTTCCCCAGAGAGCTGTGGAAGTGCCAGGAATGGGGTTGAATCTGCATTAGGTTTTACTCTGAGCAAGTGTGGTGGGGTTTCTGGGAAAGCCTGGGGCCGGGGGCTGCCCTGGCACTGGCAGGCCCACGTCTTGCTCAGCCGCGCTCTCCTCTCCCTCCAGCGCAAGCCCTGGCTGCTGCCAACGCTGGCAAGTTCCACGGGGCCACGTTTTAGCACCTCGACGCAACACCGAAACTCTCCTCGGCCATCGTTTTCGGTTCTCCCGGACCCCCTCCCTCTCACAAATGGCGAGACCACCCTGGACGGAGGAGTGGGGAGATGCACCATGGACAGCCAGCAGAGGCCTGCTCTCACACCAGCTCCCTTGCCCTTCCTGGCCCCGGGCTCTGCTCTGGCCTGGAGGAGATGTGCAGGAGCCTGGAGGAGATGTGCAGGTGCCAAGAGTTTGGTCGTGGGAGCATAGTGCCGAGGGGACCAGGAGACTGCCCTGGACTGCCAGTCAGCACAAGGATGGGCTGTTGCATGCGGGATCTGTTGTGCCCAGGGAATGGGGTAAAGTATGGACGTTTGGGCAGGGGGATTTGCAACCACATCGGCAGTGCCCAGTACAGCTAGAAGGTCTCCCTACCAGGGCAGCATTGCACCAGAGGTGTGTAGGACTCCCATGGCTCTCTGTGCTGATGTATTGGTCTCCCAAGGGTCTGCAAAGATGCTCTTCTAGGTGGAGACCAGCCAGTCCCCACCATGGATGATGCTTTCACCTTCTGGTGGACCTGGATGCTCCATCTCTGCTCCTCGAGCAACTCTTCCCCTCCCTGTGTCCTTGCCTGAAACTGCTTTTAGCATCCCAGGAGTTCATCGCCAGCAGAGCGTGGTCTGCCCGTTTCTCCTCATGCTCGTGGCCCAGCAGAAGGAAGGAAGGAGCTGAGGATGGGGCAGATGGAAAGAGAACTGAGGGTACTGCAGAGGTGCCTGGGCAGGAGCCAGGGAAGTGGGGCGGTCTGTGCCGGGGTGGCACAAGGGTGTCCAGTGCGCCGGTGCGCAGCAGGCACGGAGCAGCAGGTCTGTGCGGGGATGTGGGCATGTTGCAAAGGAGTAGTGGAGCGGTGCAGCAGGCTGGTGCTGGGGTGTGAGGTGGGGTGGCAAAGCCACAATGCTTTCTGGGGTCAGCAGGGATCCTTCTGCGCGTAGGGATGATGGAGGGATAGGGAACAGGCTGGGGGCAATGAATACCTCTAGGTGATGGCAGCGGGGGACCGTCCTTGGCCTGCTCCTGAGGGCAGTACCCCTTTCATGGGGATGGGAGAGGGTGAAAGACAAATGCTACTAAAACACGGACTCATGTGCGCTCGCGCGGGCTGCAGCAGAGGCACCGACTGCTGCATCGGGCAAAACGCTGGCGAGCTTGCTGCAGGGGCTGGCACCGTCTCGGCGCTCCTGGGGCCCC